GCAATAAATTTCTCTTTTATATTTTCAAATTAGAAAAAATATTTATCTCTATTTGATAGTTTGTCAACTAAGCCTGGAAATTCCAACGTATACCTTTTTGAGATGAGCAAAATAGAATTTCGTCATCCTTGCCAACAATTTGCGAAAATGTACACCATTAAATTATTTATAAGACTCAGAATTTTTTATACTCTTAAATATGCAAACAGAGATTTGAAATCCTCGAAAAAGTCAGACAAAACCAAAAGAAAAATTAAAATTTTGTCCCATTTATAAATATTATTGATTTTTTTTCAACATATTTTTGACTGCTTTATAAAAAAAAGTTATTTTTCTTTGTAGTTTTATTTCTTAACTATTCCAATGGTCCAACTAACGTTTTTTCTGAATCACAATAAATAAATTATTATCATGGTCCAACAAACGCGCACCTTAAGCCGAAACCGGCATCGCCTTTGTGAGGGAGCCGGTAAAGATGCCGCTGCGTACATTCGTATCTGGTCTAGGTAATCTGTGCCATGGGCACAGCACGTCACGATGAGGACAGCGCCCCGCTTGTAACGTATATTCCATCGCATGTGTTCATCTCTTGCTAAGCGATATTGTCATTGTTCTTGTTTTTCGCATCATAATGAGAGAGAAAATGATAAGTGTGTCGACATAGGTGAGAACATGCGAGGAGCCCTGGTTCAAATCTAGGTTGGGGACTAATTAAATTAACCCTTTTGAGACGAGTTTTTGTTTTAAGGATTAGGGGTTACATTTTTAGTGGTTTAATGTCAATGGCAATCAAATAAAACCTTTACATCGAAATTTAAATGAATTTTTATTTATAAGAAGTGGTGGAAGGATGGTCTACATATATGTACCACCAGTCTTTGAGGGTGATAACAAAACATTACTTTTATAAATTTTACTTAAACCTAAAAATTGTTAATTGTGGTATGCAGCAAAACAATTCTTGCATAATGGTATCCTACACTGACTGCATACTGTCTTGGTTCTCTTCTGAATCTTAATTTCAGCACAGCGAGCACATCTTCTACAAGTGTTACCTTCAGTTGGCAGATGCATCGGAATGTTTCTTAGACTTAGCCTTTTTTGGAAGGACGACCACTTGTTGATAGACCTTTTACTAAGGTAGTCTTTCTCTGGCCTTCGTTCAGAATTGCTTCTGCTAATGGTACGAGAAAAACTTACAGCTGACTTCATCAAAAGCCTGAAAAAACTTTGATCCACCATTTACTTGATTTTCTGTCAAACTCAGACAACCCCGACATTTGGTCTGCCCGGTCGACTCCTCCCATGTGATCCCGATAAAAGGCAATCATTTCTATAGGAGATCTTGTACCAACTATGTTTTTTCATATTTAGCGATATAATTTTATTCGTATGGCAATTGCTAAGAACCAGAATCTCTTTAGTGTCCTGCCATTTTGCAAACATTACACCCTTGTTAGTGCATTTAAAAACTGCTTCACCCTTTTTCAGTTTCAGTTTCGGAATATTTTTTCTAGTAGCTATACAGGTTACTGCTGAATAGTTTGTTGAATGAAGTAAGCCAACAGAGGTAAAAAGACGGTCAAAGCAAAGTGTAACATCGGTCTCTTGTATAGTATTTGCAAGCATATTGACTACCCTTTTTCCTAAAGTACCATCTTGGTTGCCCTCTTCTTTCCCCGCATAAATGTTGAAATCGTAAGTATATTACGTTTCTGAGTCACAACGGAGCCTCATTTTTAATCCTCGCTTTGTTGGTTCGAGGGGTTAAATCCTTTTTTCATATTTATTTTGTTTTATAAATTAGTAAAATTAATTAATTATTTTAAAATTAGTTATTTTGTCTTAATAACCTAAATAATTTTTTAAATTTGTAGATTTACGTTAGTTTGTCGTAGAAAAAATATACTGTACAACTCGAGTAAATTGTCCATATTCTCTCTTGTTGCACAAACTAGTATATATACTGATTAGACGATATCATAGAAAAATTCAAGAACTGGGAAATAAATAAATCTAATCAGTTTCTTGTTGCTAGTTTAAACTTTGAAATACAAACTATTTAAATAAAATAGGAATAAAAAGGGATTTATAAACATGTTTCATGCACTAAATATTTAAAACGCCAACCAGGATCCGTTCCTAACACACTTTTAAAAAGATATCCTGACTGAGCCGAAAAGGCTTCAATTAGTTTACAAAAATAACTTGTTCCAAGAGAATTACTAATGATCGTAAGGGCTCAAACATTCAAGTTTTACAGAAAGTTGTTTAATTAAAATCAACTCTTTTGGAAGACTGATGCCTTATAAATAATAAATGATCTATTGATTCACCTTCAGAACATAATTTATCACTGAAATACTCACATAAGATGCCCATTTATATGAAATAGAAAAATATACATTTGTTACACTTTGTGTGTATAATAGTTAACCCTTTCGACCCCCTTGTGCTATGTATGTCCCGACGAGAAATATTATTTCGAATACACCTTCACACATTGAAACAAAAAGATGGGGTTTCTGGTATTTTAAAAATTTTACACTGTTTGTAATCGTCCCCATTTGTTTTTTTAATGTTTTTAAATTTTAACTGCAACTGAAGATGAAAACAAAGTTTTCCGAAACCTATGTAGTGCGGTGCTAACGATATTAAATAAAATTTATGACCAAATACACCAAGGAAATTTTTATTTATTTAAATTTCAAAAACTATTTCCAGTTTTTTATATACCGGTGGAATATATATGTCCCATTTAGTATTACTAGTGTGACATGTACGTCCCACTTTTCAATGTCAAAAATCAAAATTTTTGAACCTGTACGTATTCTGAAATATATATTTCTAAACTATATTAATCATTTTTTTTGTTTTAAATCTTTGATGTTTTTGACCACGCGACCACGTGACAGTACCGCGTTAATGGGCTTTGAGTCATTTAAAAACATCAAAAGTATTGTCGCGCGCGACTGATCGCGCGCGACATGTCGCGTGAGTGGGCTTTCCTTCTAACACGGTGTCCGATTTCAATGATTCTTTTTTTGTTGGAAAGGGGATATTTTAGGGGTGGTCCCATATAAATTTAGTCAAAATATAATAATTGGGTCCATGAGAAAATCCTCAAACTCTTCATTTTTTATATATGTTTAGCGATAATGCTTTACCACCTTGTCCGATTTATATGATTATTTTTTTGTTAGGGGTGGTCCCATATAAATTTGGTTAAGATGTGGTGATGACATCTGCACGTTTTTGAAGTCGGTTTTTTTAAATTTTTAATTTCTAATACTTGTTTCAATTCGCATCAAATCTGTACACGAAAATACAAGTAAGAGAGGCATTTCAAAGTGTTACTGTGGAAATGCTTAGAAAGGAGAGTTAGAACTTTGAAAACCGTCTTCAGACCTGCATACATATTATGGGAGGCCACTTTGAACAACTGTTCTAATTAAATATAATTTGCAAAAATTACATTAATATAATAAAGTATGAATTTGTGCTAGCTATTGATATTTTTTCTATCTTAATGTAAAAATCGATAATAAATTACAGCTGGTTAAATTGTAATAATTACTAATTATCAAACAGAATGTATTTTCAATTAATTATTTTCAGAATTATCGCTTTTACCACTAAAATTTAAAAATCTCTAAAAACTATTAACTTTAGGTATAGGGAATGCTTAAGTCAAATTAAAGTATAGTTAGGATACTTTTGAACGATGATATAAAATACAGGGTAAACCATTTAAAAAAAATTGAGAAAATTATTTATTTGTGTTTTGACTCACCTTGTACAGATTTGATGCGAATTGAAAAAAGTAGTGTCTCCTGATAAAATTTGGCCATGATTGAAAAATTGTGGTAGAAAAAAAATTGGTTATCAATGGTTTCTTTTGCATGATATAGGTCATTGAATTCAATACGATTTTCATACAAAACTAATTATATCCTGCAAAATACCCTGTACAAATCAATATTAATTTATATTTTTAGAATGAGAAAAGCGAGGTTAATTCAAATATAAAATAAAATACAGGGTGATCCATTAAAAAGAACATAAGTTGGTTCCTGAGAGAAGTTATTAAATAATTTTTGAATATGTAGTTTAACGCTGTCTACCGTTCTGTGAAAATATTTTTTCTATATCTCTAACAATGGCGGAGATATTGGACTTTTTCACACTAATGGATCACCCTGTATATAGGAAAGGAAAAACAATACTAATGTATACATTCATTACCCTATAATTTCAATCGTTTTAAAGAAAATACCTTATTGCATGACTTTTTCACTACCCCGTATAGCCAACAATTCTAAATATTGTTTTTAAACCTTTATCAATAAATCAAAACAAGTCCCCTAACCTCAAAAGGTTTTTAAAATAGACCCTATTCGCATAATTACTACATCAAGTCAATAATGAAGCAGCTAGAAATGACCCTATTTTAGACCCTTCACGACTGTCGTCAATTGCTAGGCACCGTTGCCACATATTAAACTAGGAATATAACATTTTAAAGTTTAAAAAACCATGGTTTAATGAATTATTTCTGGTAATCAGATGTGAATTGAAAATATATAAATGAACACTATTTTTATGTAAATATAAATTTATGAATAAAAAAAGAGGATAATTCCACATTTGCAGTATATGTGCGTATACAATAATATAATGAAAACATGAAAAAAACAATTAAGTATCACAAAGTTCTATAGAAGGGAAAAGTTGGAAACCATTTTAAGTTTGACGTCATTAGAAATTGTCATACTGACATAAAGTACAGTCTATTAAATCAGTTAATTACTAACACTTAAGTAGTTTGAAATTATTTATAAAAAAGTTATTATTTATAACAAACAAAAAAATGTTGGCATTAAAAGTAAGCGTAATATTTTTGAAAGGACAACCCGTACGACGTCGGTGCCCATCCAACCAAACTTTCGTCGATTCACTTAACACCCAGGCGCAAAATAAATATGAAATGAATCACCTACCTGTTGGTGGCGCAGTCTGTTGGGATTTTGCGGGATACGGAGTTTCCGAAACGGAGTCTTCACTACAACTCCACCAACATACGGGATAACAGAGGTGGATGTGACAGAACTTCGTTATTAATAAAAGTTGCGTCGCTCATTAGGACGCGCGGAGAGGGAGGGCGGTGCGATTTTGTAAGAAAACGCGCCGGCGTTCTTATGATTCTTTCGAAAAATCGCCCACTCGTCGTTTTCGAAATTGTTTAAATTATGTTCAAATTGATCGCTTAGCTACCTACGTTCATTGTGGGTATTTTTTGGGACGCATAAAGGTACAAATTAAAGGGTTTTATAATTATTAGAAATTTTGCCATAGAAATATAATTTTTTGAGTGTTCTCGATTTTTTGGAAATAAAGTTTTGATGATGTTACAATATTGTATTATTACAATAAGATTTTTACTTTTTATTTCTAAGTACTAAATATTATTGACTGCAGATGAGTTTCATCAAATCCTCAAAGTCCTATCAATACCGTTACCAAGATGCTTATGTAGGCTTTTTAATACGCCATAAGTGACATAATTTTGGTCCCGCTGACAGTTAATTACTTATTTAAATAAAAACTTACGACTGAAATTCTAATAAAAACTAAATCTACTATATTAAAATAAAATTTCTGATTTATCGTTTGCATTTTTTGTTAAAATAAAAACAAGTAATAAAGAAATAAAATAAGAAAATAATTTAGACAAACGTTCATTGTGGTTTCTTTACAATTTGGTTGCTTTTAAAATTATTTTAACTTTATTGTAAAAAGATGGTTTATTCTATTCCAGAACGAATTAAAATTGTGAAACTTTATTTTTAAAATAATTGTGCTAGGCTTACTAGTCCGGGATCCCAGGCCCATTTTCACCCATGATTACTAACAAGCAGATTTTTTGTGAGTAGCTTCATTTTGACGAGACGTCCAACTTTTTTCCTTACTACAATTTTGGTAAACGGGGGTAGCGGGGGTGAAATATGTTGATTTGACGAATTTTAAAAATTTATTACTAACTGAATTTTTCTTTGTTAATTCCCAAGATAATTATCTAAATAAACCGAGGAAATATTTGTCCTATACAATTTAAGGTTTTATCAAATAGTCCCCCTCTCCAACATGTATAATTAACAAGGTCATGAAAAATAATTACTAACCAGCTGACTTTTTTTTCTATTGGTTAGTTAATATTAATATAATTGAACCCCCACATTGTCCTACAAATAACGTGGTACGACATCCTGGTCCTATGATCAAATACCACAAGACAATTTTATTTATTAGTAACTGTAGGACCAAAGTATTATGTGATAGATTAGTATGTTTTTCATCCAAATAAACCAATGTCCTACAAAAAATCAGGTATGTACTGCTAGTCCTACAAGAATTGTCATTTTCGTTTCCCTATTTGTAACACAGTATAAAGTAACAACATATTTCTTGAAATTAAAATAACTTTATTTTCCAATGTACATAAAAAAATCTAGGTTTTTTATATAATAAAAAAAACATTAATCTTCATCAGATTCATCGGAAAAATCTTCATTATCTTCGTCAACAGTATCAGTCTCATCTTCATCTCCCTCTTCTTCACTTTGTTCGTTAGTGACGTCTGACTCTGTAATAACATAAAACAATTAATAAATCGCCGAATAATTAATAAATAAATAACAATAATATTAATAGGGTACCTTCTAAGTCAGAAGATAATTCTTCGAAAGATGGGCTTTGGGGACCATCAAACCAATAATATTGATATTTATTATCAATATTATCCATCCATAATTTTTTGGCAATTTTTCGGTGGGACACCGCATATGTGCATTACACCATACATTGGAGATGAATCCTGTCCTTTTAATTTTGTTGCAGAAATTCTTGTTTTGTTGGTGGTTAACTAGAAGGACCATATCCTACGATACTTTTTTTTAATACTTCTTCATTATCATTTCTTGATTTATATCCTTTTTCAAATAGCTCATACCTTCCTTTGTTGAAATCATTTTTTGTTTTTAACGAGTTCACTCTACATTCATACTCTTCAATAATTTGAATTACATCATTTGATGTTGTTATTATCTCTACGTAAGAGTCCTCTTCACATCTCAAATCATGTTCAAAATCTTTAATACTAGGTTTTTTGTACTTGTCAAATATAATATGTACTTCTTTTCTATTATACAGTGAAAATCGCCGAGACAGGTCGATTTTTGATTTCTACAATGTATATTTTTGTATGATTAGTTTACCCTTAATTTCATCCCTTACTGGAGGGTAGCAACCCTTTCGAAAAATTTAAATGGCATGGGGTGGTGAGTGATAGCTCATTTGAAAGGGGGTTTTATTCTCTATTCAACCATACAAAAAATTTTGAAATTTGCTTCATTACGTGTTGATTTATTAATGTTTAAAAATAACAAAACCTCACAAAATAGGAAAGCAACTAGACTAACAGTGACCTTCTAATGGCAAAAAGTCTTACTTCACGTCTGAACCAAAACCGAAATCATGCAGGGGCGAATTTTAATTCTAAGGATGAGTGCGCTACGTTAATTTCCGTTATTCTGAAACAACAATTAGTCGAGAATTAATGAAGCAAATTTCAATTTTTTTTACACGGTTGAATAGAGAATAAAACCCTCTTTCAAATGAGCTATCACTCACCACCCCATGCCATTTAAATTTTTCGAAAGGGTTGCTCCCCTCCAGTAAGGGATGAAATTAAGGGTAAACTATTCATACCAAAATGTACATTGTAGAAATCAAAAATCGACGTGTCTCGGTGATTTTCCCAACAAGACTCCAGGGGGTCAATTTTCGACTTGTAGGAACCTTTTCCTATAGGAATTTGTGACACTTTCCTATATGTAGGAAAATGTCATAAATTTTCGATGTATATAAAAATGTCAAAAATTCCTATAGGAAAATATTCCTACGAGTCGAGAATCGACCCCCTGTAATGAGTTAGATAGGGGGGGTAAGACTTATGGTGCTCACTGTAAGTATATTCAATATGTTTCAAGATTTTACCTTAACTGTTTGGAACGTTCTTCAGCGTATGTAGTAAATAAAATACATCAACTAGGTGAATGTCTGCTTCTGGAGGATATTGTAGTAATTCACTAATAACAACAGATTTGGGGGTCTTACAAATTGATCCATCAGTATGACAGAGTGAAAATGGAATAGGAGCTAGAGGATAACTTAATGCTTTTTCTATATCAATTTTATTTTCTAGTGACGCATACAGTAGGCGACCGAAAACATCTCTTTGCATTTTTACTTATATATACAATATTTGTGTTGATGATGGTTTCGAGCAGATAAATAAGTTTTACAAGAAAGCCAAATATCTCTATTAAATTTTTTTATTTCTTCTCTTTTTTCTCGAAAAGTAGGATTTTCACATAACAAATTACATAAAAAACACTCCATTATTATTTTGCAGCACAAAACACTATTGAAATTATTTTTCGAAAGACAAATAAAACACGAGGTTAACTGAAAACAACTTTACTTGGTTATAGTCGACACCTGCGTGGAATACCTAGTATACACTAAAAAATGCTGAACGCATGCGTAATAGTGTGATTCAGATCCAATAGCAAAATGTAGAAAATAATTTTATTTTTAATTTCATGAATTTCAAATGTAGAACTGGAGGACCGGGATAATGTATCACGTAATTTGTAGGACAATGTGGGTGTTAAATTATATTAATATTAACTAACCAATAGAGAAAAAAAATCAGCTGGTTAGTAATTATTTTTCATGACCTAGTTAATTATACATGTTACCTTAAATTTTGTAGGACAAATATTTTTTCGGTTCATTTAAATAATTATCTTGAGAATTAACAAAGAAAAATCCAGTTAGTAATAAATTTTTGAGAATCGTCAAATTAACATATTTTACCCCTGCTACCCTAGTTATATTATTCCGTGAGTATCATATCCAACGCCCTGAAAAAATAAATGTCTGGTTTGGCATATTAGGTAACCATATTATAGAACCACTTTTCATTCCTGGAAATTTAACTGGTGAAGTGGACCTTGCTTGAAGATGAAATTGACCCTCTTATAACAGAAATATTAGAAAATGATCATGATGTTTCATTTCCAGCAAGATGGAGCACCTCTGCACTATGTTGGTGCTGTAAGAGATTTTTTAAATAACCGGTACCCTGGACAGTGGATTGGAAGGAGAAGCCCAATTGAATGGCCTGCAAGGTCACCGGATTTATCGCCTCTGGACTATTTTCTTTGGGGACACTTGAAAAATAAATGTTTTGCTACGAAGCCTAATTCCATAGAAGATCTTCGCCAAGGGATAATAGCTGCAGGAGAATAACACCTGAAATTCTACAAAACGATCGCAATAGATTTGAACAAAATTTGTTTTATTTTCAACACCTGTCAAATTATTGTTTTAATAAATCTTTAAAAAATCAATTTTATAGTTTATCACTTTTTTAGAAAGTAAGTAAACTTAAAAAACTAACAAAATTGACATGTATTTTCCTATTGAAATGTAATTTTTTATAAAATTACCTTTTCAAAGATGTGCCACACTTAGTACTTTCCCTATGTAAATTCTAGGGCTTGTTCACCCCACTGCTCAAGAGTTGAAGTGCCAAAGATGCAATTAGGAAAAAATGTGTATTAAATTTTTTCTCGAGGTTTACAAAAATACTCCCGCCCTTGGCGATGCCTTGGCATAAGGATTATCAGTCTTTAACCAGGTGCTAAAACTTTTCTATGCCTCTGACGGGTTATTTTCTATTTTTTCGTTTTGTTTATTTTGATTAAGGACTGCAAGAGCAGGGCTAGGGATAGCGCTGCCCTGTTCCTAATATTACATTGGTGACAGTGGTACCTTAACCCTATTATATTTCAGTAGTATACGCAAATTTTTTTAAAAAACCTATTTTTCTAACTATTTTAGTTGATTTGTTATATTCCTTAATTTTAAATTATTAGAAATGTTTTATTAAATAAAATATAGTTAAAATTTTCTGCCGGAGCCGACTCTGTGTTACTAGTCCAAAATGGCAGCACACTTATATTCTCCGAGCAACCAAAAAGTGGCATTGTCTTTTTACTTAAAGATTCTTCACTTGCTGTATTAGTATT